ACCATATCTATGGCGCAAATAACCATTCCCATGGCACAAATGACCATTTCTATGCCACAAATGTCCATTTTATGGCATAAATAACCATTTTTATGGTAAAAACGGTCATTTTTATGGCACAAATGACCATTTTTATGACACAAATGGCCATTTCAATGGCACAAATGATCATTTCTATGGCACAAATGACCATTTCAATGGCACAAATGACCATTTCTATGGCACAAATGACCATTTTTATGGTACAAATTGCTATTTACATGGCACGAATTACGTTAAAAATACAACCATCTGCTTGTCATCATTCCGTCAGTCTAGGGCCGAGTGAATCGACCTTCGATGTCGATGAACATTACTTGTAAATAGTACAAAAAGCAAAAAATTAGTATAAATATCAATAAATAGAACAAAAAGTATCATAAATAAGCAACAAAAATGTACAAAAAACAATTATAATCCAAAATTAAAACACCGATGGTGTTTTTCTACAAACAAATCGAGAATTTTCGTAGCATCAATGTCCACATTTTTGTGAATAAAAGCAGCTGCAAGTCCGTTAAGTCGATTTTCAACCATTGTTGATCGACAATAAGTTTTGATACGCTTGAGTGAGCTGAAAGCTCGCTCTGCCGAGCTGGTGGTAACTGGAAGAGTAGCAAGAAAAGCAAGTAAAAAATGTATATTCGGATAAAGAATAGAATCACATTTATTAAGTAAATTGTTCATCCACATATTGACATAGTTGGGCTTGTTCACGAGATTAATACAGTCATTTTTCCATCTTTCTAATTCACCAAACAATTGTAAAGGTTGTGGTAAACGACCCGAGAATTCTTCTATTAATTTTTTATATATTACCATTGTTGAACAATTCGTCGAAGTAATATGTTCTGGTCGTAATTGAGTAAGCAATTGTATACGTGGTTGGCCAAATACGGAAAGACGTTTATCGATATTTACTCGCAATTCACGTAGAAAAGGAAGAAATACTTGATCGCGGTAAAATTCTTCTGGATCAAGAGTCTGTTGGCCATGTCGTTGTTGATATGTTCATGGTGCTGCTGGTTGTACCAATAATTCTTCCGATATTTGTTTTACTTGTTCAAAAACTACGCTTTTGAAATAATTAACAGCGTTAGTTTCTCGTGTAACGAATGTATTGAGTAATGATAAAACGTAATGATGAGCGATACCGAAATCGATAGTAGGCGTTTGTAGCAGACGACTGAGCGGAGTGATTTCGCTCAGAAGAAAATATGCAATAGATATAGATACGATTGTTTCGAAACTATTGATCGAATGATAAAGTTGTTCTGAAGTTGAATCTCCATCGATCCGAAGAAAGTCAAGAGTATTCGAAATTGGAACATATAATTCGAGGAATGTTTCAATCGCAACATTGCGCTCGATCCACCGAGTTTCACACTAGAATATAATACTTTCTTTATAAACAACATCTGCAGAACATTTTTATTTTTCAAAGGACTCCTCCAAACAAAAATAAAAGGACACAAAAAGGTTCTCACCCTCTTGATGGAACTCAAATAGAACCATATGAAGTTGTTTTCTGAAAAATAATGATACACAAGGTATACAAGTTGGAGAAAGAGGTGAACAATATGAAAGATAGATGGAAGATGTTAAAATACAAAATCGATATATTCGGTAAAGATTTTCTAATTTCATAGAAAATATTTATAAAGAGAAACAAATGAGAAAATTATTATTAGAATCTCATTTTAATTTTTATTGTTCTATATCTATTCTTTCTTGTATACTTAGAATGATACATCGTTTTTTTCACTGATATTTTTAAATGCGTCTCATGAAAAAGTGTTATTCTTATCTTTCTATTTCATTTTTATCATATATGACATGATGTGTTTATTATTGTACAACATATATGTCATTACTTAGATAACTTCATCTATATTACTATCGAAATGTAAAAAATTATTCATTTTTCTTCACTTGTCACAATGTTACCTATTCTATTCATTCTTCTTTGTCAAACATTTCTGAGTCAAGGCACTATTCTTAATTGTGATTTTGAAACAAATTGTAATGATTTTGCTTTGTATGGTTTTTGGGCTATAACAGATGGTTATCATCCTCAACCTATCGATCATGATCATACATTAAATATCGAAGCTGGCCATTATGTTTTCTATAATCCAAGTCCTGGTACAAGAGGGTTCGAAATGAGAACCCAGAATTGGTTACAACCTTCAACTGATCGACCATTATGTTTCCGAATGTGGTATTATCCTTCTCAAATAAATTTTCTATTTAGTGTTCAAGTTGTACAAGGTGAGGGAGTAGAACTAATACGTACACTCGCTTCAGTTGTAGATAAGAATGTTTCAACTGTTGATTGGACATTAATCAATGTAAAATTACCAAATGAAAAAATCAAAATATCTGTTCAAACAAATCTGACACAGAAATACTTAGCATTTGATGATATTTCTGTGGATTATTGTGATGGTCCACGACCTTCACCTCCTAAAGTTTTATTTACTTGTGATTTCGAGTCACCTTGTTCAGACAATTTTGTTTCATTACCTAAATATCCATATCAATGGTTAATATCAAATGCAAGTGACGCTAATAGAATTGAATTCTTTGCTCCATCTGCTGATTATACATTTGGAAATGGATCAGGACATTATGCATTTGTGCCGGTTTCCAAAATAGTCGATAATGGTAAAGTTGGTTATCTACATTTACAAAAACAATTACAAATAACATCTCAAGAATCTTACTGTTTGAATTTTCAATATTATGCTTATCCATCAAGTGATAGAAGTTATTTGAAAATTTATTCATGGGCCTCAGATGAATCTAAAGCAATTCAAATGTTATGGCCTGGAGAAAGATCAAGTTATTCCATGTAAGTAATCTTGAAAGAACCATTATAATTTAAACTTTTTCTTTTTACTTGTAGATTGGGCGGTCGATGGTAAGTTTACGTTGCCAAAGCAGATATTTTATTTTCATGTTTAGTATAAAAACCATTAGAATAAACTAGCATTACTGATAAGAATTTTTGATTTGCTCATTCTTGCATCTTTAGAAAAATAATAGTTAATACTAAATCTGTCACTAGATGACGAAAATGAATTACAAAGTAATTCAGTTTATATCAGTTTGTTTCAATAGTTTCTGGGAAGGCAACCAAAGTCTATCATGGAATATGATGTTCTATATGATTTTGTTGAGGATAAAGACGAAAACCACACACAAAGCAAGTCCGTGTTAGATTCTGATAGATTCTAACACACTTTTATAGACTTATTCAAATCATATAAATAGATACAATATTAACATATAGAAATTTTGAATTATTTTGTAATTCATTTCCGGCAAGAACCTAAAATTAGAGTGAGTGTAGAGTAAAACTAAGACCTGGACTTACTTGCATTTGTTTATGTTGCTAAAACGATGGAAACGAAAGAATCTCAAATATGATGCATATCTTAGAAATGAAATTATTAATTGATATGATTCTTTTCTATATTAGGGCTTGGGGTATTATTAATTTACCAGTTGGTAATTATTCACTTCTTTTTCGTGTGGATACTGATACCTCTTTTACATACTCATTTGCTCTTGATAATATTGATATCACTTCATGTGACTATCCTCCGTCATCTACTTCATACAATTCTCTTCTTTCTTTTTCATGCAATTTTGATAATTCGACAATGTGTGACATGATTAACGATGAAATGAGTTCTACATTTAATTTTACAATATTTACTGGTGATACAATACCTGATCAAGAACTTGGTCCAGATCGTGATCATACAAATAATTCAACATCTGGTGGTTTTCTTTACTGGAATCAATATTTACCAGTCAATACAAGCGATAGAGGTCGTGTATATCTGTCAAAAAAATTGAGCAATATGCTGGTATGTGTGTTAAATTTGCTTATTATGTCAAATCAAAAGTAGTTAATAAGAATACAACAGTAATTCGTCTATCCGGTGATGGATATTCTAGTACAGGATTATGGTATCAAGTATTAGATGATAGTCAAGGATGGCAGATAGCTCTTGTACCATTAAGTAAAGTTGCTAGTGCAATAACATTCTGTTTTGATGTTTATCGACTCGAACCGGGTGTGGGCGTGTGTGGGTGTGTGGCTGTGGGTGGGTGTGGGTGTTAGTCTTCTCTTTATCAACACCCACACCCACACCCACACCCACACCCACACCCACACCCACACCCACACCCACACCCACACCCACACCCACACCCATACCCACACCCATACCCACACCCCACACCCACACCCTATTTCACGCCAATCGGGACATATAGGTGGTCCACGATCATATTTCAGACGAACGTAACAGGATGAATTTCTGGTTCTATCGATAATATTTTCAGCAGACTATTTTTTCTCATAGCTTAGTTGAGTAATTACATCTTCAATTGTATTGGTACTCATAAAATCAAATGAATATTGACATTGAGAAGCAAACCATGAATGTGAACAATTATAGAATTAATCATCTGATAATGTTCCATCAATAATAGATTGTGAAATATAAAATAAATTCGTTCAACAAGATCAATAGGAGATGAACAGAAAAGGAATTCATTAACAGTTATATTTAAATAACAAAATTCTTTAAATGTGAAAATCTTATCATATTGATTAACAAAATCAGAAGTTGATATGTTGGGATTAATGCGAGGACGATGACAATATTTAATCTTCTCATTTATTCTTTCTTTTAACCATAGATATGAAGTTGTTCCAGTAGATGCACATCATAATGCAAACAATCAAATTCTACTTGTCCATCTTGAATCTTTCGATTACTATTGTAAAGATTCAATTGCATATAAATCATTGGTAACATCATCAAAACTAAAAAATGAATCATCTCCTATTTGTGTTAATGATCTTTGTCTGACATGTGTTTTAATTTTGTTGCACATTTAAACATTATTGGCAAATGTGATCCCATTCTATTTGTTCTTCTAATCTTTAATAATACGTACAAACTTTGGACATTCGATACTCGATTGATCAATCCTCATAGATTAAATCATAAATATCCCTATATATGATCTTTAATTAAATTTTTTCATGAGTTCTTTTCAGATGTGATTTAGACGAATAAACTATCAGAACACGTTTCAATTCAATCATGGACTTCATCAACTGGATAAACAATGGGCATAATATTATTCTAATAACAAATCTTTATTTCATTTTATTTTTATAAAGTATGAGTGAGAGCGAGTCAATCTACTATGATCATGATTTCGTCCCTGCTAAAGTACTCTATAGATGACTTCAAAATAGTAACGTACTTGTTCAAAAAATCGATAAACACGATCACAAACAAAGTATATTACGTATATCTATTTCAAATAATTCGAAAAACTATTGAGCGAGTTAAGATTGTGAGGGTGAAGAGTCTCTTCTTTATGGTCATCGTCAATCTTCACTCTCGAAAATATCGTTGAATTGCATAGGAGTACTCAGACCAATAGTTCTAAACAATGTTTTACCCGCCATTGCTCGCAATAAACTTTATCTGGAAGAGTACGTAGTTGATTCACTGATAACTTAAAGGTGTTTGTGTAGGTGGATGTGGATGAATGCGTGGCATGGCTATTGGTTTTTTATTCATATTCACATCATCACTTTATAGAAACGAATCAATATATCCTAATGATACTAGGATTCAGATCAAATTTCTACTTAATGACGTAATAGAATGTTTTTTTCTTACTCATTTGAAGTTAATATGGATTAAAACCCCATCTGTATAATAGAAATAAAAATAGAGACTCTTTCACAATACTGTCTCATTTCAACAGAAACAACATAGAGAGTTTGTTATATCGTCTTCACTTTTTTCAAGTAAATAATATTTATTTTTAGCGTTGATTTTTTTTTTAGCATACGACATGAAATATTATTCTTATGAAATTATATACTTATAATATTTAGAAAAGTTCTTAGTTATATCATGAAAAGTTTGTTATCCGTTAAAATATACCATATGAAAAGAGAACAGAAAGAGATCGATATAGTTAATATTTATTGATGTATAAATATATATTTTATCTACGATTTAGAAAAAAATGTCTTTGATATTTTTCAACAGTTAATGTATATACGAATTAATCATTAATACATATAAAATACTGACTGATAGATTTATTTTTTCTTACAACAGGAGAATATAGGTGAAAAAATATTGTGGCATATATAAGAGGAGAGTATAGAATTTTACTCTTATATAGTGTTTCACAAAATATTCAGAACCAATATTGTGAGTATATTCTTATTTTTTAAATTCACTCTTTCGCATTCGTTTTCAAAAGGTGGATGACAATGTGTGAGAAAAGCATCATACATTTTGACATCTTAAGAGAAACCGCATTAGGGAATCAACCATTCGTCAATAGAGGCATTTTATAATAAAAATTGACATATAGTTTTTTTCTTCATCAATCAATTCGCCATGGAAAACTACGGTTATGAAAAATTTTTTAGGCTCTTGTAATGTAATTTAACAAAGTTACAGACATTGAAACATAAGAGGGGTCTCTGTGAGTAAGCCATTTTTTCATATGACACTTATTCGGGGGAAACTTTAATATAGTGCACCTTCTAGAGAAATGTCCGTGCTACAAAACCATTATAGACATTCTGAGAAAAAAATTCCAGAAATTGTTGAAAAAGACGAAAGAACATGGTTCATATGCATGATTTTGAGGGTTTTTGACTAATATCTATCAGATTTCGATTACAAAAGTCATCATTTAATCAAAACTAATATGATATTGCGAAACAGCGTCAAAAACTGACCCAATTTATGTACTTTTCAGAATTTTTTGAGACATTTTTTTTCGTCGAAAAATTTGCCCGTGGTCTTACGTCAGGGAATTTAATATTCAACCATATCCTGAGAGAGACCACAGAGACACTTTTCGACGAAAAAAAAATGTCTCAAAAAATTCTGAAAAGTACCCTCAAAAACATGCATATGAACCATATTCTCTCGTCTTTTGTAATCATTTCTGAAACTTTTTTCTCAGAATGTCTATAATGGTTTTGTAGCGCGGACATTTCTCTAGAAGGTGCACTATATTAAAGTTTGTTTTCGAATAAGTGTCACATCCAAAAGTGACTTACAATGAAAAAAGCGTTGGTCTAAAAAATGCAACTTTTTTTCGATATCAAGACCGAAGTTTTTTCGGAAAAATGAATAAAGAATGGCAGAGATATAATCGAAAGAATGAAATCAGTTTTTTTTTCAGTTCCACAGAGACCCCTCTTGTGTTTCAATGACTGTAACTTCATCAAATTACACTACAAGAGCCTAAAAATTTTTTTCATAACCATAGTTTTTCATGCCGAATCGAATGATGCAAAAAAACAAACTGTATGTCAATTTTTATCATAAAATCGAGATGCTCGATCCCCTCATGCGGTCTTTCTTAAATATCTGAAATAGTTTATTAAATATATCCGTTTAGAACTAAGGATGACTTCAATTTCGATGTATATCATATTCTTATGTTGTTTAATATTTAATAACAAAGGATTAGGATTTCGTTTCCACCATCGATTATATAATGATGCAAATAATCGTTTAAATCATAAATTACGATCAGTTACTACTGTTCAATCAAGATTAGCAATGGATATCTATAATTTATATCCGGCGTACGGTAAAGACAATTATAATGTCTATTTTGCGGGTGAAAAAATGAATGTAGGATCTGTTAACTCATTTGAAGTCTTAGGCAATTTTTATGCGAAAGATAAATGGAATGTTTATTACATGAATAAAAAGTTGGATATTATATCTATTGGGTCATTTCATGAATTAGGCAGTGGTTATGCAAAAGATAATTATAATGTTTATTTTTTGGATAAAAAGTTAGATGTTATATCTGTCAGTTCATTCAAAACGTTAGGTTATCGTTACGCTAAAGATAATTATAATGTTTATTATATTGGAAGAAAATTGGATGTTATATCTGTTAGTTCATTTGTGGCTTTAGACAATCGTTATGCAAAAGATAATTACAATGTGTATTATTTGGATAAAAAACTAGATGTTATATCAGTTAGTTCATTTAAAGTGCTAGGTAATGGTTATGCTAAAGATAATTATAATGTTTATTATCTGGGTAAAAGATTAAATGTTATATCTGTTAGTTCATTCGAAGTTTTACATGGTGCTTACGCTAAAGATAATTATAATGTTTATCTAGCTGGTGAAAAATTGGATGTCATATCTATTAGCTCATTTAAAGTATTAAGTAGTGATTATGCGAAAGATAATTATAATGTGTATTACTTGAATAAAAAACTAGATGTTATATCAGTTAACTCATTTCAAGCATTGGGTCATGGTTATGCAAAAGATAATTATAATGTTTATTACTTGGATAAAAAATTAGATGTTATATCTGTTAGTTCATTCAAAGTATTAGGTGGTGATTACGCTAAAGATAATTATAATGTTTATTATATTGGAAGAAAACTCGATGTCATATCTGTCTATTCATTCGAAGCTTCAAGCAATGGTTATGCGAAAGATAATTACAATGTTTATTATATGGGCAAAAAAATTCCAGGAGCTTCAGTCAGTTCGTTTACTTTATTCAAACAGAAATAATGATCAAAATATTTTGTGAACTGAATTTACTAGTTTTTTTTTTTTATTAAAAGAATTTATTATGCTTCAATGAATGTATAAGACATGTTAGTTCATTTACTAATAAATTTTATTATGCAAACGATTGTCGATGTGACACTATAGGGTACTGTGTATAGACAGTTGGTTTGTCATTCACTCAGTTCATGAGGGTATGGATGTAAAAAAGTGATGAACATCAATAAAAATTATTTATACTTTTTAAAAATCTATTTACGAAGAAAAAAAAATATGTAATACGAATCATCTAAATAATAGAACTTTAAAGAACTAAAGGGTGTTTTATAAGTTCCGACCCTACTTTTATTTTTGCGGTGTTCATAGATAAACAGATATTGACTCTATATATTTTTGAAGAGCAACATCTCGGCCATCATCCAAGAGAATTTGCAATCAATTTGCATTAACCCTAAGAAAATGCTGCATCGATGAAGTTAGTGAAAAAAATTTCATCAAATGTAGATTTTTATATTCTGTATTATATAATTATTTTAAACATAGAAAAACAACAGTTTTATCTAGGGTGTGGGTGTGAGGTGTGGGTGTGGGTGGGTGTGTGGGTGTGGGTGTGACTGTGGGTGTGGGTAAGAGTGCAAAAAAGATCACACCCACACCCACACCCTTCTATCATTGTTGTAATTGTAAATGATAAATAATGTTGTTCAAATAATGAAACTACGTAAAAGCATCTGTAGAAAAACAAAAATTCTCCAAGGGGATCATGCAATAAGAGTAAAAAAAATCATTCAAAAACTGAGTTTCTGAGATATTTTTAGGAATCAAAGTTAAAACGAAGAATCGAAATTATGCTTTGTCGATAGGTATGTTCCACCAAGCACTCGATATTTCGATTAGCTTCCACTAATCGAAATCATATCGAGTAATCGAAAATATCTTTTCGATGGATTTCCTGTCTTCGAATAGTCGAAATTCTGATAGACTTCGAGCAGTCGAAATGCGTCCAAGGAGTCAAAAATAAATGTGCAATGGGAAAATACTTCAGAGGACTCGACATTCGATAGCTACCGAGGGTTCAAAATTAGAACAGAGCAAGAAAAAAAAATATATATTCAAGTTTCGGTCACTCGTCGCACTCATCGTTGGCTTTTCACAATCTGCTTGAGTATAATCGCTGATGTAGATATGATGTGAGTATTACCATCATGCTACATCCACACCTATACTCTTTGTTTTATTTTGCTTGTCCTTTCTATTATTGAGAGAATCTGTAATATGTTTTGCGACCCAAACGTGAAAACTTTGTTTTTGAAATCAATTGCAAAAACATGTTAATAAAATGACAAGAAACTTATGCTGAAGTTCTTTAGGTTAATAAATAGTAGCGTGTGTAAACACTTTTTGAAAAGCCAATGGTAATTCGTTCTTTGTCTCTGCATTAACAAAGTCACATGGTGTAAAAATAATCAATTCAGTAATATGATCGAAATTTGATTTTAGACGAGTATCATTGTCAATCATCTTGATTAATTCTTTGGCCATTAATATTTTATTGAAAGTACTCAATTTCGAAATATCTAACCGTTTTAAATTTGGTGTTATAAGAATCCAAATAGATAACATCAGCGAAGAAAGTTTGTTGGATGAACCGATTATAAAGTGATTTACATTGGGTAATATCGATGCTTTTGATATATCATCCATGAGCTATAAAATTAATCTAAACAAAAGTCATTATTCATACAATTATATATTTACCAATTCGAATAAAATTTCTACTGATTCTAGATCACAATAATCAAATTGAAGAGTTTGGCGCAATGAAGTAAAGACACAAGCGACAAAATATAAATATTGAAGATTCAAAAATTGATGAATCTTGTTGGAAAAATGAATTTTCTTTATATTAATAAAACGAACAAACGGTGAGTATTGATCTCCTTTATTGATATACCAATTGTACAGTCCATTTTCAAAATCAAATGAAAATTCACATGGCAATGTGACAACTATTCCACTATCGTCATGATTTTGTTGAATATAAACTGGTAGACGACGTGCATCAAACCACCATTTGGTTTGAAAAGAACGTTGATAAGAATCTATATTGACTTTTTTCTCTAACTTTAAGAAAAAGACGAATTTCTCTAGTTGTTCGCATGGTTTAAGTGCTGCTTCTATATCATATCCAGTAATAATTGACTCACAAGAATTAACAACAAGTACTAGGTTTTTAAGAGATGTTTTACAGCTTTTGATAACATGTTTCAATAAATCAAACTTCATCTCTTTGTCTATTGTAACATCTAATTTAGTCAAACGCGTTGGACTTTCGCTGACGTTGAATGTCTTCAGAAGAATCATGTCGTGGTACAGGGTTGTCTTCAGATGATTGATTTTAAAATGAGTTAAATTTGGTGTAGAATTTATTATGTGAACTGTGGTATGTATATTACATACGTCTATTGATAGACGTTTGATAAATGGGCATGATAAAGCTTCAGAATTATTCTGTGTAATCTAAAATTTCTAATAGATATGCAGTTTTATTTGTTGTTTCACTTACGTTCATGATAGGATTTTGCGTATCGGTTAAAAATGCTTTTATAGCAAGAATACATTGTTCACGGAAATCCAAAGACGACATTAAAACAATTGAAGCAGGTTTTTCTCGAACTCTCAAACTCATATGCCATCCATTTCCTTGAAGATTAATTAAAGAAAGTTGTGAAAAAGACCATTGATCAGTAAAGACATGTTTTAGATAAATATTATGGAGATTAATTATCTTAATTCTATATTCGAGTTGTGGCATATATTGTCGAAGCCATGCATTGGTCGTATCCTTTGGCAACGTCATATATCGGGCACTCTCATATATAAGATTGATAAAACGTTGATTTAGATCATGAAATATTCGGAAAATCTCAACGATGTCCAAACATGATAAGATGTACAGCAATACTTCATTGGGTAAAATCTCTAAAAAAGCCTTCGTACTTCCGTTGTCGTTGTAATTCACTTGAGATTGTGCTCGTTGTAAAATATTTTTCAAATCCATTGAAAAATCTGAAACTCAAAATTCGACCGATTATTAATAATTAATTTCCAACAATGACAACAATGTCAAAGGGATTCGGTCCAAATCATCGAAATTATAAAAATTAGGTTCTCCGATGCATATTCAACAATTATATTCACGTAGCGAATTATGAATCATATAGCGTACTAGTTTGATTAAATCACAAAATTCGCAGTACACAACCGTGCCTTGCTTTTTTTAAGTCGAAGAACATTTTTCTTTTCGTCAGGATATGTAGATATGCACGAATGAAGCAAAGAAAAATTAATTGATTGGCTGAGATGATTGAATGAAACTAGGTAGGAAAGAAAAAAAAGAATTTCTTCAGTAATTCTCCCTCTTTTGCTTTTCTAACTCATGTGTATGAACACAAGAAGGAAAAAACAAAAATTCATTGCATCATTTGTTTCTATCAATCAGAAGAAAAGAACGAAAATAAAGTGAGTGATGCTTGAT